GCCTTAGACCACTGAGCCATCTCACCAGCCCTGTTGAAAACTTTTGCTTCCAGAAATACTTAGGAAAATGAAAATCAGCTTTAGCAGAACAAAGTATATGTAAACCATAAACCAGACAAAGGACTTGTGTCTGGAAGACATACAGAACTCTGACAGCTTCTTAAATGGAAAGAGTATGGTTTTAAAAATGGATAGGTGGGGGCCCGGGAGACGGCTCAGTGGGATAAGCACTTCCCTGGCAAGCGCAAGGGCCTGAGTTCAATCCCCGGTTCCTCAAAAGAAAAAGAAAAGAAAAGAAATTGATAGGTGGTGGCACACGCCTGTAACCCCAGCACCTGAGAGTCTGAGACAGGAGGATCACTGCAAGTTGGAGGCCACCCTCAGCTGCGTAGTGAGGCGCTCGCTGTCTCAGAAAAACAAAACAAGAAATGAGCAGTACTAATTACTGTAAACGTCCTGTTAACCCGTACTGAAACTGTTTCACCGCTATTCTTTTTTTCTCATTAAATGAATAAAAATTAAGAAATGGGCAGAGAATACGTGCGGATGTGAGTGAGGACTTGAGCGCGCCTCACGCCGGTCCCCAGTGGAACGCGCTTCAGAGCCCACGGCGGCGCTGCTGCAGGCTCTCAGGGTGGTTGGGCCTGACAGTCACCCTGCGCTGGGCTGACTGTAGAGTACTTGTCTAATGCATAGGAGGCTCTGGCGCCTCTGCCACAGAAAAGAAGAGCCTCGGGCTCAGACTCCCTCGGGTTGTGCCCTTGCCTTGTACAGGTTCTGGGTCTGGTCCCCAGTGCCACTGGGAAGAAAGGGACTGGTGAGGATGTAGAGGGAGCACTTGGAAAGTTCCCTTAAAGCCCGGGCTGACCAATCTGCTCCCAGTGCTCCCAGCAGCTTGCGTGCTCATTGCTGAGCATAGGGAACCAGGCAGAGCCTGCCGTCCTCTGTAGGGTGGGACCCACCTTGCACGGGCTCGCACTGAATGGATCTGCCAGGAGCCCTTGGCCTGGCTTCTGTAGCCCCAGGCAGCTGAGGTGTGGCTGGCAAATCCCTGTTGCCTGCTCTTGGGATCTGTCCTAGGACTGGGGGGAGTGCGGGTAGGGACAACGTGCGTTCACGGTTCTGGCTGTGGGGTGGGTCCCAGCCCACCTGATGACATGCTTGGACATAGGTGCTCAGTGTGCAGGGCTGCTGGGAAGAGTGGAGGCAGAGTTGGCTCTGTCCCTTGAGACGGTGTCCCCACACAGGCAGAGAGCTGTGAGCTCTCAGGAAAGCAGCTGGTGGTTCCCTTAGGCTCAGTCTTTTTTTTCCTTCCTAGGAGGAAGAAATCACTAAGGAGGAAATTGACGTCCTGAGTGATGCCTGTTCCAAGCTCAAGGAGCAGAAGAAGTCTCTGACCAAGGAGAAGGAGGAGCTCGAGCTGCTCAAGGAGGACGTTCAGGACTACAGCGAGGTGGGTGCGGCCCTGCGGCGGAGGCTGGTGTCCAGCGGGGAATGGCCACCCCGCAGGACGGCGGGTAGCGCTCGTGTCTGCTGTGCAGCACCAGGCTGTGCGCAGAGTGGTGGAGGCGAGCCCATCCAGGGGCTTGCCACCGCCACACAGCCAGCACCCTCTCTACTCTGCGAGTGACCTTGCAGACGGTGGTGTCTGAGCACACGACACCAGTCTGTGGACTCTGGCCCCTGATAGGTGAGGGCTGTTTGTTTATGACTTCCCAAGAGAGCCATCTTACTGGTTGTTGTCTTTGTTATTTTGCTTTATTTGTGGTCCTGGGGATTGAACCCTGGGTCCCATGTATGTATATAAGCCTGTACCACTGAGCCCCCTTTTCCTACCCCCTCAGACACCTGTTTTCTCTTTTTTGTAAATATTCCCAACCCATTGAAAAGAACTATTTTTGTGATTCTGTTGGGCAAGGTAGCAACTTCCAAGAGGGAGAAACATGTTGCTGTCACTAAGCTGCTTGCTGGCAGCCGAGGCAGGCGCTGAGGGGCCTTGCAGCTCTCATTGTCCGTCCCTGTAGTGTTTGTTCCCGGCCAGAGTAGCCTTCATCTGAGAAGAAAGACACTCGGGATCTGTGGGTTCCTCACTTGTTTAGTTCTCAAGTGATTCCATTTTATTTTATTTTTATTTATTTATTTTTTTTTTTGCGGAACCAGGGATTGAACTCAGGCCCTTGCACTTGCCAGACAAGTGCTTATTCTACTGAGCCATCTCCCCAGCCCCAAAAGTGATTCCATTTTAGTTGGCAAGATATGTTCCAATTTCTGTGTTAGAAAAGCAGCAGCAGGACTGGGGAGACGGCTCAGTGGAATAAGTGCTTCCCTGGCAAGCGCAAGGGCCTGAGTTCAATGCCCAGTTCCACAAAAATAAAAAATAAAAAATTTTTTAAAAAACAGCATTTGAGTTCACAATAGTAAGAGCAAAATCGTAGACTAAAAATAAGATTTTGCAACTTTCTGTGCTTGGAATTAATGGCTTCGTGTTTTGTTTTGTTCTGTGGTGCTGAAGACGGAACCCAGGGCCTCATGGAAGCTAGGCAAGGCTTTTGCCACTGAGCTACATCTCTGCCCAAGCCTGTTGAAACAGTTTTTCAAATTAATGTAGGACTCTCCCCTACTCAAGACAGACTTTCTTAGCAACTGTGAACACTTTCACTAGGACTTGCAAGAGATCAAGAAGGAACTTTCCAAGACTGGGGAGGAGAAGCTCGTAGAGGAATCAAAAGCCAGCAAGAGGCTGACAAAGCGGGTGCAGCAGATGATTGGCCAGATTGACGGGCTCATTGCGCAGCTTGAGGCGGGCCAGCAGGCTGGCAGACTGGGCCTGACCGGGGCCTCACCTGCAGGGTGAGTGCACAGCCAGGGTCTGGGCTCACACTTCCCTGACTCCCAAGTGCATGGTGAGGCGTCTGGGCCTCATGCCCCCGCCAGGTCCAGCCAGAGTCACGGAGCCACCCTGCTTCTGGTTTCCTTTGCTTCCCACCAGGGACCGTTCCCAGCCCTTCCCCCCACCCACTCTTCCTTGCCCCCTCCACTTCCCCTCTGGCTGAGCTCTTTCAGCTCTGATTTCCTCCTGCTCTCACCAGCCTTTTGCCTGTTCCTGCTCTCCGCTGTGGCCCACGCAGGGTGTGTGCCATCTCGGTGGGTTGTGTCCCAGCTTGCTGCCAGAGGTTGCTGCCTCTGAGGGAGAAAGCCTGCTGGGCAGAGAGAGTGACAGCTCCAGGCAGACATCTGGCACCAGGCCCTGCCCCCTGCCCCTACCCAGGCCGTGCACTTGGGGGACACATGCATGCAAAGACCTCTATTCCCGTGGTGTCCACATTGCACACCCAAAGTTCAGGGCTGGGGACCTGTAGTAGGGGTCTGAAGACCGCCAAGTTCATGTGGCCACCAGGGTCAGGTGACCGACAGGAGTTATAGGTGTTGTGTGGAGGCCCACATGCAGACTGTGCCCCCAGGGAGAACGTCATCAGTGTCACGGAGCTCATCAGTGCCATGAAACAAATCAAGCACATTCCAGAAAACAAGCTGGTCAGCTTGGCCTCCGCACTGGATGAAAATAAGGACGGCAAGATCAATATCGATGACCTTGTCAAGGTGGGTCACGGAGGCCTGAGTTGGCTGTGCGGTCCTCCTGCTCTCCGGGAGCCTCGTAGCCTGTGGGTAGCTTTGCGCATTCTCCAGGCCTATGCTGTCCTCCACAGCCATGCAGGAAGAGAGAAGTGGTGAGCATAGAAATGTGCTGGTGTGGCAGCAAGCCCACTTGTTTTTCTCTCTGCTCCCTGGACTGTCTTGGCCTCGAGGTCCTGGGGTCACACTGTGGCCAGTATCCCCGCACACTTTCACACATGCCCAGAACACTGGAGGGCATCCTCTGGTGCAGGTTCCTGCCACTACCTGAGCTCCCGGCCTGGCAGCCTGAGCAGAGGGGAGGTGATAACAGCCATTCCCCAGCTCACCCTACATCCTTTGTTGCTCAGGGACCCTTGTGATGTGCAGTTGGGTACAAGGTGGAGTCAGTCCCACCTGCCAGGGCTCCACCTGAGGCCTGAGAAGTGACAGGTGGGGCCAGGCTCACATGTGTAGCTCCTGGGGTTAAGGCTGGCTCCTGAGGCCTAGACAGGACGCAGCCTGCCTTTGGCACCTGGACCCAAGCTGCAGCTCACCAGCAAGCAGCCTTCCTGAACCATTTACACTTCTGACAGGAAACTGTCCCTGGGACTACAGTGGTGACCTGGCCAGTTAGTGGTGTTCCAGACATGACCATAGATACCAGCCCTGCTTAAAAGCAGGGTGCCGTCAGGCCCATGTCCCTGACACCTTCCTTCACTCCCTTCCCTCCTCTGCCTGGCCCCCACACCCTGCATGAGGCCACATACATAGGTCACCCCTGGCACTCTGGCAGCCCTGCAAGCTGCAGTGGGAACCTGGTTCCAGCAGCCCCTGGGGATGATTGGTACTCCAGGACCAAGGCAGCTGCAGGACGCAGGGACTTCACGGGACTGAGCTGGGCGGCAGTGTTCCCACCTTCCTGGGCTCTAAAGGGACCACAGGCAGTACCATGGGCTGGAGCCTGCTAAGCCCCTTCCTCTACAGGTAATCGAGCTGGTGGACAAAGAAGATGTCCACATCTCCACCAGCCAGGTGGCTGAGATTGTGGCCACATTGGAGAAGGAAGAGAAGGTGGGGGAGAAGGAGAAGGCCAAGGAGAAGGCTGAGAAGGAGGCAGTGGAGGCGAAGAATTAGGGCCTTCCATCCTGCCACACCATCACGGTGGGAATGACACAAGAGTGATTGCTTTGAGGTGATTCTTGTGGCAGTTCTAATATTTGGTCTGGAATAAATCAGAAACTTCCATAACCAAGTAATTTAATTTTCATCATTCCACAAAGACTCAGTCTGGATTCCTAGGAGCCTCCAGGGAACCATGACTGGACTTGCTCTGTGGTGTGGTGCCGACTGGCCTGGAGGTACCTCACTGGACCAGGCAAGGCCAGGCAGGAGGGCCGCTCGCTGTGCACCCACGTCTGGGAAGAAGCACGGATGTGCAGAGCCCAGCACCAGGCGGAGCCAGCCAGATGCGCTGCACTGTGAGGCAACACAGACACAGCCCCTGGGCTCTGAAGATCACTCCAGTTGGGCTTGGACTCTGATTCCCACGTGTCCATGGCAGCGTCTGCCTACACACGATCCCTAAGTCGTATCCATGTACCTATCAAGGCCAACTGTGGCTTCTCCGTGCCTCTCCCTGAGCACACACTGGTGTCTCCTGTGGATCCCGTTGTGTTTACTGGAACTCTTTCTTGATTCACTTTTGATCTACGCCTAATTCATTAACTAACTTTCCTAAGGACAATTTGCCTAACTCGTGAGTAGCATCTAACAGTCAGGGCTGAGTCTCGCAAGCCTGGGTGTGAGGTACTCCACGCTGGATGATGTCACGTGCTGCCTTTCCGTCCAGGCCCCGTCCCCTTCCAGCACCACAGGGCCCTATATGGCTTCTCCCTCTTGACCCACCTGTCTGCAAGGACACATGGGCGTGGTGGGGCCACTCCACATGGCACCCCGATCCTCCAGACAACTGGTTCTTCCCATGTGTCTTGGGCTGTGACCTCCGCACTGGTTCTTAGCCCAGCAACCTTCCACTAGCCTAGGACTTCTGAGTCCACAGTCCCCTGGGCAGCAGCCAGGGCTTTTCTTGCTTGGTGGCAGGCACATGGCCCATGGAACCTCATCGGTCACTAGAGAGTGTCACGTGAGGACTCTGAAGACATGGGAACGCGTCGTGCACGCAGGAAAAACCTTGAAGTCACTTGAAGTTGACCACGGAGGAATGAGGCGATGCACACATAAGGCTGAGTCCCACTTCCGTCCCCATGGAGGGAGCTCTCCAGGCCAGTGACGCCCTGAGCCCTGCCTGCCCTAGCAGTCCGGCCCCAGCCATCCAAGTGCTCTTGCTGCTGAGAACAGGCCTGGGAGTGCTCAGTGTGTCCCCACACAGGGCCAGTCGCCAGGTCCTGCCTGTCACACTTGGTGGCTTGTTTGGGCAGTCAGTGACTCTGGGCCTGCAGTGTTGCCTTGGGTGTCATAAGGCTCGGTGGCACATGGTGAGAGGTTCCAGAAGTTTTAGGGAGTCTTCCCCACAGTTTTACTGTACTGACCCTAATTTATTGCCACTCCCCTGCCTCAGCGTAGTATAAGAAATCTGGTCCACCAGGAGGAGGCGGGTGGCCGCTGAGCTGCCCGTGTTTCACACCGTGCAGGGTGTGCATGCCCTGCCTTCTCAAGCATCGTTAGGAGCTGGGACTCTGGAGCTGCAGCCATGTCCCCTTGTTGCATCCCACCCTCATCCACCCCACACAGGCCCCGTTCACTCAGGGATCTGGGACGTCCTTGTGGAGTGTCAGTCTAAACTTGGTGAACATGGAGGCCTGCGTATGTTTCTAAAAGTGGCCTCCTGTAATCCCAGCACCCGGGAGGCTGAGCAAGAGGATCACTGTGTTTAAGCTCAGCCTTGGCTACATAGTTCAAGGCCAGCCTGAACTGCATAGCGAGACCGTCTTAAAAAACTTAAAAAAAAAGCTTCCTGAGGTAGCTGTCACCAGGGTCCTGGGGACCAGCAATGGAACAGTGTTCCATTTCCTGGCCTGGCCATGTGTAACACCGTATATAAAAAGTTTTTATGAGAACATCCAATCCATGTTCCTGTAGTGTTTCAAGGTAATAGCTGTGTACCATCAGATTTGGAGACTGTTCAGCATCAGAGTCCTGCTTTTGTGACAGTGCTGTAGACTACAGGATGGGCCTGCCTCTTGCAGGGCTCTGGCCTTGGTCCCAGCCTCCTGACCCAGGGTCTGCACTGAGGCTAAGTGCACGCTAGGTGGCTTGATGTAAGGTGTCGATGCAATAAAGTGCCACTTGATGACTCATCTGCCCCCGGTGGTTTGTCCAGGTCGCTCTTCCTACCCAAGGACTCACAACGCCGCATGTGTCAAGCTCGGGCACTGCCTCCAGATTACATGGCATGGGCCCCAAGCAATGGGCACCACCCTGGGACAGCAGTCTGCTTCTAGCCCATGCCTGACAGGCTAGGCCCCCAGAGGGGGTAAGGCAGAGGGGAGCTCTGGCTGAAGGGGCGTCTCAGCAGGAGGGCAGACAGGCTGCTCAGGGCCCTTGCTCCAGCCCCAGGCTGGGTCACAGTAGGCACCAGCCCCATGGAAGCTTCCCATCTCCCCAGGTGCCCTGGGCTGCTCCAGGGTCCCAGCTTGGGCCACAGCAGAGCCAACACAAAGGGTACTACATACTGCCACAGTAGAAACATTCACTCCAGTGCCCACTACCCTTTTGATGTGTAACAGGGCCAGAAGTGTGGCAGCTCTGGGTAGCTTGCTGGGGGTGAGGGGCCAGGGCCTGGGGCCCCAGATGGAGGCCAGTCTGCAGTGCTGCTGGTAGTAGCTCTCATCCCAGCCACTGCTAACCACGGGAGCCTTTCTCAGCAGCAGCCAGTGGAGGCCACACAGCCCCCAGGGTTTCCTGGCTGAATCAGAGCCCTAAGGACAAGCTCTGGGGTGTGGGTACCTGCCCCGGATGCCACTACGGCCCAGACAGCCAGGCCCTTTGGAGGCACCAAGTGCCTTGGGGGCACAGCCTGGAGAGGGCTCTGGGCGCAGCTCAGCTTTACAACACTAGGGGGCACCTGTCCTCTTGGCTGGCCTGCTCTGCCTCCACAGGCCTCCCTGTGCGTCACTGTCACTGGGCATCCATCCACATGGCCGGGATAGTCTCTGGGAAGCACTTGGCCTGAGGGCCCTGGTCACTCAATCTGAGGCCCATCTCCCTTCCGAGGAGTGGAGGTTTCCACTACTGCATCGAACCAAGTCCCTAGTCCCCCAGGCCTGACCTCCCTGCCTGGGGCCCCACTACCAGGTCTCTGGCTGGGGACTGGAATAGTGTCCCTTATATAGATGCTGCTTGAACCAAGTGGTCCCAGGAACTGGGTGACATCAGCATCTGCCGTCTCCTAGAAGGCAGGACCACAGCGGAATTCACTCAGCTCCAAATGTCCCCAGCTAGCCTTGGTCACCTGCTTCCCCAGAAGGCTCCTGGACCTGCTCTTCAGGGAGAGGAACCAGAGGCAGGAAACAGGCATGACTAGGACAGCCAGCTGGGGCAAAGGGTCCCTAGGACGTAAGCGCCCCACCTAGGGAAAGCAGCTGCTCTTCCCCTGCTGCTGGCAGGGACCCCCACACACACACCAGGGGGCCAACAACCTGTCCACAACAGCAGGACATGGACAAGACAGGGACCTGCCAACGCAGGGTACAGGCACGGGCACAAGCAGGGCTGGAACAAGTCATCTCTTTATTCTTGGAAAGGACATCTGGGTCACAAAGTCACGCTGGCTGGTGTGGGTCAACACCACTGGCCACCATGGCTGGGCCCTGAGGAGAGGTCTGAGTGGCCACCCTGGCCTTGCTGGCTGGCCAGCAGCTGACGGACAGGCAAGACTTAGCCACCCAGCGTGGGCCCAAGAACAGTACAAAAAGGGGATAAAAGCGAATTCACGGCTTTCTCTCCCAAGTTTTGAAAGGTAGCAGTCTGGGCTATAAAAGTCTAGAAGCATTGTGTAAAAAGTGTTAAGTCTACAGCAAATACATCTTGTAAAAACTCAATAAATTATATATATATAGATAAGATATAAACTTGTAACATCTAATAACATCTGAACCTGCACACAGCGCCGGCCCTCCCCCAGAGTACACAGCAATTAGAAGAATCTATGAAAATGCCAGCTTGCTCTGAAGTCCAAAGAAATAAATCTAAAGAAAGGTCCTCTACAAATCTAATTCCCTTGCAATAGGCCAAAGGAAATCAAATGCTTGCTGGACCACCTCCAGCACACAGCCTGTGAGGCGGCTTGCAGCTAGATGTGCATTCTCACAAGCCCTCTGCACGCAGCATGAACGTCAGCTGTTAATAAGTTACAATTTAAATCTCTGCTGTGTGGCCGGCTAAACATTACCCACGTGGGGAGACTAGGGTTTCGGGAGTTGATAAATAGCTTTACAAATATACAATCCAGGTACAATTTTTAAAACAAAACTGCGATGCCAGAAAAGCCCCTTTGCCCCTCCACTTGCTTGCATGGGGGTCTCCCCACCCAGCCCACTGCCATCTCCCCCACATAGAGACTCTTATATATATGTATACATACCATATGCACAGCATCTATTTATAGAAATGTACACTTGTTTCTGGAATAAACCTTTCAGACAGAAGGAAAAGGCTTCCACCTTCAGGTACCCGTAATTTCAGTCTGAGGGGAGGGTGGGCAGCAGGGAAACCTGGAAGTAGGGAGCTGTCGCCGCCCCCAGGTGCAAGGTGCCACGCGGATGCAGGGCTCACCACAAGGGGCTACCCTGTGGGCTCAGCTTGCGGACGGGGGGTTGCAGCCCACTCCGAGATTCTCCTTGGAGTTGGCCCCTTTACATTCTATATTTGTGCCCCAGAATAACGCCCCTCGGCTCTTGGCACCAGCCACTCAGAAGGGCGTTATACAGCAGCACAGGTGTCCTGGGACTGCGCGTGCACGCGGGAGACCTCCCTCACACACAGAGATGTGCAGCCCCCATGCGTACGCCCATCTGCACAGGCTCAGGCCCAGGCCACGGCACCCCAGTGGCAGCAGGGTGGGCCGGGTTTCGTGCTCACATTGACGGGTTCGGCCTGCAGGGCCGTGGCCTTTCACGTCCGAGGGCCCCCACTGCCAGGCGGGGCCGAGGACAGTAGGTCATGTGTGAACACAGAATCGTCCCCAGAAGAGCTGGAGCTAGGTGTGTCCTGGCCCCCAGGAGAGTACTGCTCGAAAGGCACCGACAGGTCCAGGTACTCCTGCGGGCAGGGGGTAAGGCCTATTCAGCATACACCTGCTGTGAGGAACCCTCCTGCTGGGCATATGGGGGGACAAAAACTCACGTCAGTGGATGTCACAGTGAGGATACGGTCCAGGTCCTCCACCAGCTGCTTAAAGGTGGGCCTCTGTGAGGGCACTGCATGCCAGCACTCACGCATGATCATGTACCTGCAGCCAGGGTCAGGAGAGTTGGCCTGGCACCAGCCTACCCATCCCAGAGCCTGGCTGCCACAGGGGATGCCGCACTTACAAGTCCTGCGTGCAGTTGGCTGGCTTGTCCATGCGGTGGCCCTCCTTGAGTAGTTTGAAAAGCTCCTCCACGGGGATGCCAGGATACGGGGAGCCCCCCAGGGTGAAGATCTCCCAGAGCAGGACCCCAAAGGACCAGCTGCAGGAATGGGCCAGGTCAGGGCCCTGCACACCCTGGGCCTGCCCTGCATACCCCACTCAGGCAGCTCACCCCTCCCATGACCCACCCCGCATTCCTTACACGTCACTCTGGTGGGTATAGACGCGGTCAAAGAGGGCCTCGGGTGCCATCCACTTCACAGGCAGCCGGCCCTGGGAAAAGGGCAGGGGTCAGCTACCAGGAGTCCCTGCAGTGGCCACCTCATCCAGGGATGAAGGATGAAACTCACATTGGTGGTCTTCTTGTAGTAGTCCAGATTGTGCACGTCGCGGGCCAGGCCAAAGTCCGCAATCTTCATCACATTGTCTTCAGTCACCAGCACGTTTCGGGCAGCCAGGTCCCTGTGGATGCACTGGAGGCGGGTGGGGATGGTGGGGCTGAGTGACCCCTGGGGCCCCTCCACCCACTCCGGGACCGCCCCTGCCCAGCAGCTCGGACTACACCTCAGCTGAACGCCTGGGCCTCAGCTGTGCCACTCACCTTCTGGGAGGCCAAGTACTCCATGCCCCGGGCCACCTGGTAGGCACAGGACACCAGGTCCTTGAAAGTGAGCTGTTCCTCAGGCAGCTTGCAGGTGTCAAAGGAGTAGTCCAGACCTGGGGGGCGCCGCGCCCGCAGGTACTCCCGCAGGTTGCCTTTGGCAGCATACTCCACTAGCACGTACAGGGGCCCTGCAGGCATGGGGCGCGGGCACCTCAGGGGGCTGCCCCACCCCCCTGCTGCCTGCAGCCCATTCCAGCTGCCCACCTCCCTGGCCCACTGCCCTACAGAACGCACCGCCCTGCGTGCATGCTCCCAACAGGTTGATGATGTTCTTGTGCTTGCCGATCATCTTCATCATCTCCATCTCTGACACCAGGTCCGAAAGGTCCTTGTCAGTGGCATCATCTGTGCCCGAGAGGCAGAGATGTCAGGCAGTGGTGCCCACAGCCCCTCAAGGCCCCTCACCACCTCCCCGCTCACCTTTCAACATCTTCACGGCCACAGTGACCGGCTTGGCAGCACGGTCCTTGTCGATGCCGATGGCCTCCGCCATGACCACCTGGCCGAAGCAGCCCTCCCCGAGAGGCTTGCCCAGTGTCAGCCTGCCAGGAAAGGCCAAGGCAATGAAGGCAGGTGCACCAGCCCAGCCTAGCCTTCCTCCAGATGGGCTCTCTGCCCCACCCCTGCCACTCCTGCCTGAGTCCAGACCACCCTCTGCCTACACTATCCCAGTACCCAGCAGAACTGCACCCTGACACTCACTGACCGAGACCGAGACAGCTCCCACTTGGGGTCGGCTGGCAGTTCAAGCTCAGACACGTTGGCCAGCGTGGGGCCCTCTCCTGAGGACAGCCGGGCGACGCGAACCAGCGGTGTGTTGGAGTTCATGGATGAGTTGGACTCCAAGGACACCTGCTTGGGTCGGCAGGGGCAGGTTGGTGCCATGTGGCAGAGGCCAGGGATGGGGGAGTTGGGGTGTGGCTGGCTGGGTCCTGCTCACACAAGGCAGCAGGCTGGGTTCACACAGCTGCTGAGCTTCCTTGGAACAGTGAGAAAGGCATTCTAAAAACAGGGAACCTTAGGTCCTCTGTGAGACCAGTGAGGATGGAGTGTGAGCCCACTGGACTGGAAAAACAGCCCCAGCCTCAGGCAGTGAAGACCAGGATATATGTGGGCAGACAGGCGGCTAGAAACCTGGTATCTACTTTCTGTTACCTGTCGCTTGAGCGGGAAACGGGAGACTTTGTGCACGGTGGGGGAGCCCAGGCCCTTCTTGGGGGGATTGCGCAAGCGGCACAGCGTCACCGCTGCCACCACCACGATGAAGAGGAAGAAGCCCACCCCGTAGCTGAAGATGCCTGCATACACATTGCCAGCTGTGTCCACCTCCGCCAGCTCCTCCTCTGCTGCAAAGACAAGGGTGTTGGGGCCCAGCCTGGTCTCCCGGGGGCCACTAGAGGCCAGAGCCACGGGCACCAGCAGGGTCAGGCAAGGGGTGCCAGCCTGGGGCTCAGAGCTAGGGGGACCCAGGCCTCTGCGCTTTGTCACCTGGTGCTATAGTCAAAACATGTCAGTCAGGAAGGGCAGACCCAGCAAAGGAGCCCAGCAGAGCCAGCAGGACCCAAACCACCACCCGGGCAACCCGGGAGACGCTAAAGCCACAATGCAGGGCCCACACCCCGGCTGCGGGGTCTGGGGGGACCCTGGGACCAAGATGGGGCCAGGTCGAGTTCCCATGCTGGGCATAAGGCCCACGGCCCCAAGCTATGCTAGCCCAGCCCTGGAGGCTGTGGCGTGTCCCGAGCCAGCACCCAGAAGACAGGTGCAGAGCAAGCAGCAGCAGAGCCGGTACCTGGCAGCACCACCAGCCACGCAGAGTGATGGGAAAACCCGATAGAATTGCCCGCCAGACAGGTGTACTCCCCCGCGTCCTCAAAGCTGACATTGCGCAAGGACAGAATCTCTAGCTCCTTGTCGGTGGTGTTAGCGCCTGCCGTCTACAAAGAGAGAACAGAGCGCGATAGGCGAGCGCCAGCACCTCCCCTCCGGCACCATGGCCCAGGCCATGTGGCCACGATCCAGCCAGGCTGCAAAGAAAACGCCGCCACCACCGCCTCGGCCACCGCCACAGTCCTGCCACGGCCACGGCGGCCCAGGCCTCTGCCTTGAGCATGGGCAGAGCCCGAAGCCAGTCCCTCCACCGGCGAGTCCTCTGTCCCAGATGAGCGTCAGGCAGGCGCGGGAAGGAGCATAGGGCCAATCAGGGACAGCATGCACAGCTAGTGCAAGGAAGGGAGAGCACAGAGGGGGACAGGTGACAGACAGACACTAGTAGGCAATGAGGAAGTACCCGGGCCAGCAGCCAGAGAGAGGCAGCAGGCAGCAGGCAGCAGGCAGCAGGCAGGCAGGCAGGCCAGCAGGCATTCAGAGTATAGGGTACAGCCCAAATGGGCTGGGGGACCTTCTGGGGGGCACATGGCAGGGCAGGCAGGGCCAGGGCAGGCCTGGGGGGCTCAAAGCAGGTCATCATAGTGGCAGTCAGTGCCATCTACACAGCAGCAGAGTGGCTACCGGCAGAGGAAGCCACAGGGTGGGTGCGAGCAGGACAAGGGCGTGCAAGAGCGTGCAGGCAGGCACACGGCCGGGGTGTCGGAGCTGGAGCTCGGCGTGCCAGGCAGGCGTGGGACAGAGTCGTTACCTGCTCGGGGCCCGTGAACACGCAGCCAAAAGGCCTTCTCAGCCACGCCTATGAAATTGGTGGCTCTACAGAGGTACTCGCCCCCGTCCCGCTCCGACACATTGGCCAGGCGGAGGCGCGCGTCTGCCTCCACATTCTCACTGATCCAGGACTGCGGGGACAAGAGACCCTGCTCAGGCGTGCCCCGAGGCAGCCTGGGTTGGGCGCAAGGCAGGAGGCGATGGGACTAGAGGAGGACCCCAAGAGGGGCCGGAAGGCTCCCGAGGCAGTGGCACAGAGGCACCCCTTGGCGATGTGCTATGTATGATGTCTCCTGGGATGCACCCTCCCATGTCCCACCTGAACCAGAACCCAGACCTGGCTTCAGCCCCTGCCTGCCACCAGGGGTCTCACGAGCACCCATAGAGGCCCTGTGACAGGCCCCTTGGCCTCTCCCAGCCAGTGCTGGACTCTGCCATGGCCCAGGGCGCCTGCTCCCCACCCCTACTAGACCGCCTTGTCTTAGAACAGATGTTTCTCTTTGGGTTTCCATGTCGCAAGCATCCCAGCTCCGGTGGCTCCCACCCCTGCAGCTATGAGAACAAACCTAAGGACAGGGGCAGCTGGCAGGGCGGCACACCAGCCCCACACTACTCATACTGAGGACATGGCCACTCTGCCAGCCCTGGAGCTGCAGCCCAGAACTGAGGTCCATGGACTCCAAGAAGGCAAGCATGACCCCCGCCCAGACCCCCTCCCTGGCACAGGCAGGGCCCACTCAGAGAAGCCCATGGGCCTATCCCTGGGCCAGGATCCAAGTAGGGGCTTCATCCAGAGCACGGGTGAGGGAGTAGGTCCCAGGCTCAGCGTCCGGAGCACCCAACTCAGCCCCTCCCAGAGAGTGGTGACAACCGGCTCAACCTACTATCCCAGAGTGGGCCCCTGCCCACAGCCAGCCCTGGTGCCCACCTTGAGCACTGTGACGTAGGGTGTGCCATCAGGGCCCACCTTGCTGCCGTTCACCTCCACGTGCTTTAGCCACTGGATGTGCGGCTGGGCATCACTGTACACCTTGCAGTGGAATTCCACGTCGCTTCCCAGCACAGCCGTCTGGTTGGCTGGCAGCCCTGCCTGCAGGATGGGCCGGTGTGGAGAGCGCTCTGTGAGTACAGGATAGGGAGGGTGGTCAGCGGGACACCTGACAGCAGGTCCTGCCCTCACAGGGCTGGCGCTCACCCAGCACATCCAGTGTGTATGTCTGCCGGATGCTGCCAAACTTGTTCTCCACCACGCAGGTATAGTTGCCGCGGTCAGAGGGCACCACGCTCTCCATGACCAGGCTCCACTGCTGGTGCCGCAGCTGCAGGAGGTGGGCGGGAGGTGAGATGCAGGCCCTGTCCCCGCAGCTAAGGCCCCACCCGCCAGGCCCCAGTGCAGGCCCGCGGCCAAGCTCCCTCCAGCGCCTCCACGCTTGCCTTGATGCCCCCGATGCGATGCTCCCCACGGAATTCCTTGCCATTCTTCAGCCAGGAGATGGAGGGCGTGGGGCTGCCAGCAGCCGGGCAGCGGAACCGCACAGTGTTGGCGGCTGGCACAGCCAGCAGCTTCTTGTCCATCCGCTCGGGCCGAGTCCAGTACGGGGCCCCTGCTGGCAGTGTTACAGTGAGGACCGGGACCCCCACACTTGTGGGGAGACCAGTCTGCTTTGGGCAGCTGCTCTGACTGCAGCCTCGGGCCGGGCTTTAGGCTTTCTGGGACCCGCATCACCTAGTGGAGTCTACAGGTCCTTCAGAGACCCTCAGCCACCCCTGCAGAGCCCCAACACAGCTTCTCCTCATCCTGGTTCCCAGGGCTGCCCCTACACCCACCCTTGCCCCTACTGGGTTTTGTCCCCTCTCTGGGCTAGGGACTGCTGCCTGCCTGGCTCTCCACAGCAGTCTGCACTGCCACCCACCCTGGGACGCATGTCTCATGGAGAAGAGTGAGGCCCAAGGAGGGGCAGTGAGGACAGAAGGCAGGGAGGGGCCTCCTGGGTTGGGCAGAGATGCCCGGTGACAGCAAGCCCAGCGGGGCTCAGGGTCCTTGGCCCAGGCTACTTGGCTGTCACCCTCCTTTGCACACATGTGTCACTCAGCTCTTCACATGGGGCTCCAAAACCAGAAAGCGCTAGCCCCTGCATAGTGGGCAGAGTTCTCCTGCCACCATCCCTGCCTTACCCGGGCACTGTCACCCAGGGAAACCCTGCCAGAGGCCCTTTCACAGTGCGTACTCAGCCCTGCCCAAGCCAGCCAGCAGAGTGCTCTGCCCTAATGTACTCACACCAAGGACAGCCTGAGCCCCACTCCCCATCTATAGCATGGCTGCTGGCTGCTCAGGGCCAGCATCCAAAGGGATGCCCTCCTCACCTGCCTGTTTCTCCCTGTGACCTGAGGTCTCCCCCAGAGTCCATGTCCTACCTGGCAGCAGAAGGAAGTGGTCCCCACCACCCCACCAGCCCCAGCTGTGGAACCTGGTCTCACCTGTGTCTTCAGCCACATCCTCTCCGTCCTCATCATCTCCTGAGGAGGGGGCATCTGCCAAAGGGAAAGGTGTATGTGGGCACTGGGCCTGTGACTCCCAGGTGCCCACTGCTCCTCAGCTGCCAGGATCTGCCCAGGGGGACCCAGGTGCCCCTCATACTCCCTCCTTCAGACCCTCCTGCCCCAGGCCACACTGGACGCCAAGCCTAGCACAACTCCACAGGCACGCACCTGTCACACGTACACCGAAGCGGCACAGGACACGCTGTGTGAGCTGCTGCCGGCAGCTATAGGCCCCGGCATCTTCATGGGAGGCATTCAGTACCTGCAGCTGCTGGGGCCCCACCAGGATACGGTCTGAGGACACCAGCCCCTCACCATCCTTGACCCAGACGGTGGGGCCCACAGGGCCACCTCCAGGCGGGTAGCAGCTCAGCTCCACAGTGTCCCCACTGCCAAAGACCACCTGCACCTGCTGGCCGGGTTCCGGCCCCATGGCCTCTGCAGGAGAAAGGGACGACAGTGAAATGCCACCCAAAGCAGGTGAGCTGGGACACAGCACCCCGCTTTGCAGACCTGCAGGTGGAGGCTGCAGCAAGTCCTGAGTGAGGAAGGGTCAGCAGCCTGGAGTCCTGCCAGCCCAAACATTCAAATGGGTGTGCAAACAGCATCTATACCGTCAGCTCTACCAGCCAGTCTGCCCCAAGGACTTGACTCTGCCTCAAAGACTTGCACACCAATATGCCACTCAGACACACACTCAGAAGCAGGGCCACATCCCCAGCAAAACACACAGAGAAGGCCTCAGCAAGTCTTATCCTATCTGTCACCAGTTGGTAATGTGAAATCCACTCATGGGCATCACAGGCACACACCAGACAGTCTCCACTTGCTGTATTAAAGCTCCCCAGAGAAGGGATGTTCAGAAGTGTGTCTCTCCAGCACCCCAACTCTCATCTTGGCAACAAGAGCAGCAGAGGGGGAAGCTGGGCAACAGGACATGCCTTCAAGAGTGGCAAGAAAGCCAGGCTCAGGCTGCCAGCAGGCAAAGGCAGCCAAGAGTGGGCCAGGGGCTCTGGTTAGGGTACATCTGTGCCACACAGTCATTGGGACCCAGTCTGAGCCCTGGGACTCAGACCAAGGGTGAGAAGCCCACAGGAGGACCCCAAGTGGTTGGTGGTAGACTCCTTCCTGTTCACCCATCTGTGACAGTGACCCAAGCTGAGGACACTGCAGGCACTAGGCAAGAGGGGCAAAGCTGAGCCAAGGTGGTAAGGAGTTGGGGTGCAAGCTCATTCCCAAGGTAGGCCTAAGTCTGTCCTCTGCCCTGGGCTCCCCAGCTTCCAAGAGGCCCAAAGTCTGAGACCCAGGGACACCACCCACAAGGATGGATGATCGTCCCCTGAGCTTCCCTGCCAAGGCCAGAAGTTGCTGGCTATGGGGGCAGCCAGGCTGGGGCTCAGGACAGGGTGTGTGGCCCTGCTGGGCAGACCATGCCCAGGCCCAGTAGGCTGTCTGCGCCATCGCTTGTCATTCTACAGACGCATGGCCTAGATTCGGGCCCCAGCTGCCCAATCTGGCCACACCATTCCCTGGTTCGCCAGCCAAGCCCAACGCTGCCATCCCACATTGAGCCAGCCCCCAGGCCCAGTACACCCCAGAGAAGGGATGTTCCGCCAGCCACAGGGACCCAGTTGTCCCCCACAAGTATCCATGGTAGCCTGTGTCCCACAGGGACTCCTAGCTCAGGGCCAGCCCTTGGGTGGCCCCACAATTGGAGGGCTCCTGGCCTGACCTCCAGCTCTCCAGGCCTGGCAGCCCTGTCCTGTGGGGACCACCCAGGGCTGGGCGCTGCCTGAGGCCCCCCAGAAGGCAAGAACAAGCTGGTTGCAGTAGCCTCAACCCCAGGCCCTGGCCCAAAGGCAATAGCTGGCTGGTTCCGGTTTGGTCAGGCAAGGCCAGCAGGTCAAGCCATAAGAACAAGAATTTGCTTCAACCTGGTCCAACAAGGGATTGTAGGGGACCAGAGGGCAGCCCCCAGGCCAGCTCCGCCCATGCCCGTTAGTGTAGGGTGGGGAAGGGAAAGGGCTCTCAGCTGATGGCTGATCCCATGACCTGGCCACCTCCCCACCCACCAGGTGTCAGGAGCAAGGGGACACCTGGACTTTGGGCAGCCTTGGGCGGCCGCTACCTGCAACCAAGGCCCTAGAGAAAGCGCTGCAGGAGCCGGGAAAATAGGGCCCTTGGACGCCAAGGACAAGACAATGTTGGGCAGGCTTGGTAGGGAGGCCTGCAAAGTCCCCCAAGCTCCCCAACCACAAGTGCACACAGGCCCATCCCAAGGGGCTCCTTCTTCGTCCATAAAAGGAGCAGTATGCACCCGCACAAAACTGGTCCTGCTGTGTGAGTGAGTCCCTCGGCACCTTCTCTGACAGGTGCCTCATGTGGTGCGGAGCCATCAGGAAAGCCCACTGCTGTGGCCCACGTGACCCTGGGTCCTGGTTTCCTGCACTGTGGTGCAATGTAGAGATCCCACTCCTGAGGGAACAGAGTCTACTTTACCCAGTGAGGTGGTCAGCCTGTGTGGCAGGTGAGGAAAGAGGTGTGAGGGACACTTCTACCGAGGATCTCTGGTCAGAGGCTCAGGTGGCCAAGACAGCCTGCTAGGAGGTCCATGTCCCTGCCTTGGCAACACTGCTGGCAGTTCTGTTACCACTGCAGCGGGGGGCCCAGGGCCCCTGACAGAACAAGCGTCAAATGCAAACTGGTTCCTGAAGCCAACTACCCAAAGGACTCTGGGTTTGGAGCCAGACAAGAGCCAGGGTCAGGGAACAAAGCGTTCTGGTTTTGCACACGAAGCTCTCTGCGGCTGGGGCAGAGGAGTTGCCAGGTATACAACTGAAACAGCACAGGAGAAAGCAATGCTCCCAAGGGACCCTGCAGCTGATCCTTAGGGTCTGGTCTCCAGCTTCCTCACCTTTATCCCACCCAGGGACATTCCGGAACAGTTTCATAACAATCAGAAAAAAGAAAAGGGGATCTGGAGACAGGGAGGGCTAATGAGGGCTTACTGGGATTATCCAGTCTAATCCTCCAAACAACCCTGCCATTATCAGTCTTAAGGGACAGGTGAGCAAACTGAGGTTCCAGGACACCCTAAACTCTGGGCGAGCAGCTGGCAGCCCACAGCACTGGAAATCCCAACAACTGCTCCTCACAAACCCCCAAGGAAGTCAGCCCATTCACTTGTAAATCACCCCGTGGGGAACCTGCCCATCCTGGGCCACCCCCAAACAGGCCTGAGGAGGGATCTGGTCACCGCCGGAGACCTCAAACCCCTCACTCTTTTCGAGGCTCAACGTTAAGAAGGGGCGCCTGGGGCTAGTTCCAACCCCGAGTGAGACCTGAGGCGTTGCGGAGTGGCCTTGAGCTCGGGGTTAGGCTTCCAGGCTGGGAGGATCAGCCCGGGTTAATAAACCACCCAGAGAGAGCAAGGCTCAAAGTCCAGCCCTGCCCTGGAAGGGGTGGGGGCAGCCCTGGCCCTGCATCCCCCGGAGCCGTCCCCGAGCCCACTTCAAGCTTCCCCGCGCCCCCCACCGAGAACGTGGCGCTGGGTGTGGACAGGGAGAGGAGGCTATCACCTAGACCTGGCCTGAGTGGGGAGCAAGCCCTCCCCGCTGCCCTTGACCCTTGCCAGCTCCTGCTCGCTTGATAATTTATGTTTCTGGGGAAAGCGCCAGCTAGAACCTCTGTAAATTTCACGAGGTCTTTGTATTTTTACTGCCCGGCCCATCTCGTTAAGGAACCGGATTAAGTTTATTGACCTATCAACTGCCTACCTGTTTCACCGGCTCCAGAGCAGGGGCGGGGGTCATTAAGGTCCCGGCACGCAGGGAGCGGGAAGCCTGCGCGCGCCCGTGCGTCCCGGTTCGGCTGGCCGACGCTGGGCTAGGAGTCCGGAGGGGGCCGGCGCCCGCCCGCCGGGGTCAGGCCGCTGACACCGCAGGAGTAATATCTTTATCCGAATGCGCATGCTAATGTGCCCCCTCCCCCGCCCTTTCGGCGCTCTGGAAGCGCGGCCGTGCGAGCAAGCGCTAAAAGCGCGCGCTGACCTCCCGACGGCCTCTGTCACGCAGCTGAATGACACGCGCATTCAAGCGCCGGGCCCATTTTCATTCATAAAAAAATGACATTGTTCCGGAGGCCGCAGAGCTGCCGGGGAGAGGGGCGCGGGCCGGGGCGGGGCGCCGCCATCTGCCTGTCCGCCGCGCGCACTTCCCTGCGCCGCGCCATCAATGCGCGGTTTGTGGCCGCCGCCGGGTACAAAGGAGCGGCTGTTCGGCCCCCGCCCGGGTGGGGCTGCCTCACCGGGCCGGGCCTCCCTCCTCGTGCCAGGCCACCCTTGGCCGGCCCGGCAGACACGCGCTCCCCGCCGCCGGCGGGACCAAGGCGCACGCACCGCGACGCCCCTCAGCGGAGACCGCAGCATCCCGTCTGCGACCCGCGACCGCCCGGAGCCCGATTCGCTGTGCGCTCCGGGGAACCCCGGCTCCGCCACCGACAGAGTGAGGTAGGAGGTGACCTGGCGGCTGTCACCTGGCCAGGCTGCCAAAGGAGGGCAGGGCAAGGCTGGGCTTCGGCTGACGCACTCCTACCCACCCTGCAAAGTCTGGCCACTCGCTCGGGCTCACGCTGGCCAGAAACCGGCCCAAGAAGCGGGGAACCAACAATGGGAACTTTCCGTCCGCGCAGAACCGAGGGACAATGGACATCGTGAAAAGTCAGCTGGGAGCCGGGGACCGGAGACCGGACTGGGCACGCCGCCACCGTGCACGCGGGGGTGATGGCCCCGAGGCTACAAACACTGCCGCGTCGGCGCGGGCCACGACCCCTGGGAGGAGACAGCGGAGCCCGGATAGTGCCCGGCGCCCGGACTCTACGGCCCTCGCTCCCCGCCCCGCCCGCCGCGCTCTCCTTACCTGCGGCCCCGCGCCCTACGCGAGGCTCCGCGTCGCCAACATTCGCGGCCACGATGGCCACCGCCACGCACAGCGCGAGGACGTGGGCCGGGGCGCCCATGGCGAGGGCGGCGCTCAGGCGGGCATCGTGCCCTCGCCTCCGGCACGAGGAGGGCGCTGCTGCGGGTCTGCAGGAGGGGAGCGCGTCACCGGCCGGCCCAGCCCCAGCACGTCCCCACCCAGGGCTCCCGGGCCGCCTGGCGCCACGCCCCCCGCCTTCCCTCCGCGGCCGCAGCG